ATATATATATATATATATATATATATACTCAGATGGGTCTTCGTTTTCGCTCTGCTAGAGTTTCCGCTCATAGCGAACCCTAGCTCGAAACAGAAATTTGTTTTTTCGCTCGTTTTGATCATTTTGTCTTCGTCGTCGGCTCTGGCTGACGGAGGAGCTCGCGTCATCTGCTTCGAGTCTGCTCGTCTTATGCAGAGGAGATCATGTCCTCTGCGGCGTCCCTGCAGGTTTCAACGTTTGTTTTCGAGCTGCTCGTTTGCTACGTCAAAGTCGCTCGACTGCTCCGACAAAGTTTCTGCTCAACCTGCTTGACTGCTCGCGTCCCGTTCGTAGGCGGCAGTCGACAAGCTATGTCATTTGCTGCAGGTGAAGCACGATAATGGCCTCAGGGCTTTCCTACGCTCCCACCCTCGCCGGTGATAACCCCACCAAACCCTCCTATGCTACAGTAGTTAACAAACACAGATCACCTTTCCACTCACAGATAGTCCGATATTCCCACAGATGTATCATGAATCTATTGCAGGGCAAAATGATTGCAATCTCATAAAAAAAGTAGAGAAAAATGCGGGCAAACCAACAATATTCTTCTCTCAACTCGTGCAGGAAAATACAAATTTACACTAGTTGGAAAGTTTCAATTAGGTTGTCCTAAGATGGTGAAGATTTCAAACTGGTTGGGGATTGGTAGGTGGGTCTTTTTGATGGAAGACATGTTATGATAAAACTAAGCATAGAAGAAGATTAGACAAAGATTTTCTCAAAGAAATTCATCACAATCGAGAGCAAACCACAATCGAGTCATCACAATCGAGAGCAAACATATGAAATTGCTCAAATGATCCCCTAATTTTGATCCCAGTCAAGAACCCCCAATTGCGCCTATCTGTTTCTCATTACCTGAACTCAAGCTTCAATTCTTTAACCTACATTTGACCTACCTATCTTATATGTAATTGAGACTATCTTTGGAAAAAAATTACAGGTAGACACATACAATTCATTTCTCAAGGCCCTCTACTGTAAGGATTTTGATTGAAAGAGATATTACACTACCAGATGTAGAAGAAGTTTTGCTCACCTCTGCTCACAATAGTTATTGACAAAAAATCATTATGGAACAAAAACCTTACTACTATAAGTACTGTAAGATTTTTGGACAGCCGCAGGAGAAATATTTCAGATTGCACCCACAGTTGAGAACCAATAGTCAAAAGCAGGAACATGCTATTAGTGCACCCCACGAGCCTGAACGCTCTTTCAGCAAACCTGATGACAGCCAACCTGAGAAGGGAATCACCACAAGACAGAAGTTGGTGTCTGCCCCTGAGACCCCTTCTCCTGAACATACTACAGCGGATAATGTTCAGACTGAAAATCAGGATAGCTCCGCAGCTCCTATTCAGAAAGCATCAGATGCAAAGGTGACAATTCACACTTCCATACACTGGAACATATCTTTGTGGCAACGACTGTCTTTCCTTCTATTACAGTTCTAATATCTAATCGGACCGAGGATCACATGAGTCAGTCTTCAGATGAAGAATGATAGGTTTACACTTCTCGGCGAAAGAAAAAAAAATGGGGGCACACTCCAACTTGAAAACTTAATGGATGATACTTTAGGTACTTCTGGCAATGACACTACTATTCAAAGTTTGTTATCTAGCTCCGCTCTTAAAATTAGAGGAAGAGACGGGACTAAACTGGTTCGTCCCTAGCTACTTGTTTTCTGCATGTTTTTTTTTTTTTTTGAGTTCATCTGTATCTTTTTGTTGGGGTATTACTGTACTTGGTATTGAATGGGTAAGGTGACTCTATTGGGCCCTCTCAGACAACTTTTATGTATTTTTTTCTATTAAGGTTCTGGCATGGTGTCGTTCCCCTTTGCTAGGGTTTCACCTCACGGCGAACCCTAGCTTTCGGATCTCCCATCTGCTACACGGATCTCTCTCGCGTTTATATTTCCCTCCTGCTTCGTCTTCGTCGACGTCGGTGCTCGTGTCGTCGTTTGTTGTTGTGCTTCACGTTCGTGTGTTTCTGGCGGCAGGCTCGCGACTTCGCACATTTCCAGACGACGAGGCAGACCGAGTTTTTGCATCTCTTTCCAAACGATGTCCTCGTCTGTCCAGGACGCCTCCTCCTCGCGTCGTCTCGATCTGGCGACAGACTCTGCTTGCTTGGTCGTGTTTCTAGTTGTTATGCCCGCGTTTTCGCATTTCCTTTCAGACGACCTCCTCGCTGCCTGTCCGACAGAATCTTGTCGACAGAGATGACTATCTGTTCATATGCTACTGCACTTGTCGGCGACCTCTCGATTTCTACTCGTGTTCCTATTTCAGAATCAGAGACTGGTTTTCGTATAGGTAAATCTATAGGTAAATCTTGCAATGTTGCAATGTTCCTCAATCTTTTCATGATGCTCTTGAAGGTGGTGGCGATCACACATTCATAAAAAAATTGGGGAAAAAAATGGGAAGTCTGCTCTTATTCTCACAGAGCTTGAAACCAGTACCCTCGCGTCCTCTTGGTGTTTTGCTCTAGTGGGAAAATTTCTTTATGGTAACCCAAAATTGGAGATTATTCGGAAAGAGTTTGAGGCTATGAAGCTAATGAGCAATTAGAATATTGGTTTATTTGACAGTTGACACATACTGATTCAGTTGTCTCATGAAGTTGATTATACCCTCATCTTTTCTCGGAAAGTTATCAAGATCGACAACCGACCCAAAAGCCGAGTCCACTATCATTCCAGCTTGGATAAAATTACATCTGTTCAATTTGAAAATTCTCTACTCCTTAGCAACTGCTTACGATAAGCCTCTCAGGGTTGATAGTCCTACAATTGCGGTAACCAGACCCTCTGTGGCTTGTGTGTTAGTTGAGAGGGATATCACTCAACCCGCTCCGGATGAGGTGTGGATTGGAACCACTCACAACGGGCATTGGAAAAAGGTTGAAATTGATCCACACCCTCCTTATTGCTCTCATTGTAGTATGTTTGGCCACAGCTCTACTATTTGCTATCGTTTGCATCCTCATCTAAGGTCGAATATCACTAAAGAACAGCCACATATTATCCCTGTTGAGAAATTACAACCCGATCATCTTTCCATTACCGTAGTTCCTGAAGAAGAACAATATACTACAACTACAGATCCAGTTGTGCTTATACCACTCACTGTTATTGAAAAAGACTCACTTACATGTCAAGACACATGAAAGTGCTCCTTTGATCCAATAGCAGATCAGCCGGTACAACATGTTGTTGCCTCAAATGTTCAACAATCTGCACATCTTCAGCACACTTTAGACCAAGAACAGGTGAACCAATCTTCGGAAGAGGAATGCAGGTCCATTCCAGGAGGAAGAAGAAGAATAGAGGCCGACTCCAGCTAGGGAACATATTGGATGATACATTGGTTACTATTGGCAATGACAATTATCTAACCAACTTATTAGTTTGCTCCTTCCCTAGAACCAGAGGCAGAGGCAAAACCAAATTGGGATGCTCTCTAGCCACCTGATACTGTTAATATATTAGCCTTTTTGGGCTTTATATAATATATATATATATATACATAAAAATTAAAAGAGTGGCTTAGTTAAGATTTAAGATTTGTTTTTTAAATCACTCAAATATTTCCAATTGGCTACTGATTTCATTCTCTCCTCCAAAATATTTGTGCTGAAAAACTACCTTTTATAACCAAATCTATTAGAGTTTTGTAGCGATAAGCAAGCTACTGTCCAACTTTTTTGTAAAAAATATATTTATATTACTCACGTCAACTTTCAAAATAATTACTTGCCCCATAATTGCTTTATAACTACCTTTATAAAAAACTAGTTATCCCAAATGAACCCTTGAAAATAATTAAGAATTTGCATGGTGAAACTGCAGCTATCTTTAAAAATACTTGTAGAACTGTTACAAGGAAAATAATATTTTAAACACCAATAATGGGTATTATAATTTTTTTTTTCTTTATGAAAAAAACAGCTTTATTAAAGTAGATCAGGTTGTAAAAATTTACTTCTCACAATAATTTTTTTTAGAAAACAATAAGAAAGTTGTAACCAAGCACAACTATGATAGTTACTTATAAAACAAAGCTGCAAAGAAGTTGCCCAAATGCCCCTACGTTAAAGAATGTATAAATGCATGGCATCCAAAAAAGCATTTACATAACCAATCTAGAGTGGCTGCAATGTGGCGAGTTACCTCATTTGTATTGCTGATGTTAATAAGTTTTGATGTGTTAGCGTAAATGACCACCGATGACATTCATGCATCCTTGCAAAGAAAGAAAAAAAGCAAAGTAGCACTAGGTGTAAGCAAGGACGCTCAAGCTTGAAACTAGCTTGTGCTCAAGGGTGCCCCGGTTAGTAGAATGCTCTAAGCACAAATAACCATGTGCAAAGGCTGCAAGGACAAAAATAGACATACATAGGGCCATCATACAACTAGAGTGGGCCTACGCAAGGTTAACTTGGTTGAGTGTGTTTTGAATCGAGACAATCAATGCAAGGGTGGGTACGTAGGGCCGTCAAAATAGCTCTTCGTTTGCGAACAACTTGCGTCTTTATGAGCTAATTTCAAAACAAACTTGAACAACAACAATAAGCCTTTACCCCAATAAGTAAAGTCGGCTATATGAATCTTTTTTCACCATTTTGTCCAACTGAGTGTCATATTTTCATTTAATTCTAATAAACTAAGATCATTTTTTATATAATATGCCCATGCCCTTTTAGGTCTACCTCTACCTTTCTTAACATAAGCCGAATCTAAAACATCTCTCCTAACTAGATCATCAAACGGACAACGTTTAATGGGACCAAAGCATCCAAATGAATCTCTCTAATCTTGTCTGCTATTGGAGCTACACCAACCCTTTCACAAATACATTCGTTTAGCATTTTATCTCTAAGTGTCAAGCCACTCATCCACCTAAGCATTCTCATCTCAGCAACACTTAACTTAGTTTTATGCTTCACTTTTAAATGCCACCATTTAGCACCATAAAACATTGTAGGTCTCAGCACCATCTTATAAAATTTTCCTTTTAAGTGTAAGCAGTACTTTCTATCACACGATAAGCCCGATGCATTCCTCCACTTCAACCAAATAACTTGAACTCTACTAATAACATCCCCATCCATATCACCATCACTTAGAACAATAGACCCGAGATATCTGAAACTTTCACGACTTTTAATAATTTGATCACCCATAGTTACATCACTGCCACTAAATCTACTACTACTAAAATTACATTCCAGGTATCAGTTTTAGATATGCTCAAACGAAGTTCTTTAGACTCTAATGTAGACCTCTACACATGTAATAGCTCAGGTATACATATCTTTAATGACTTGAATTTAAGTAATACCAACAAATTTCTTTTCCAGAACTCTCCAAAAAAACTTCTCTTGGAATCTTATTGTAAGCTTTTATAAATTAATAAAAACATAGATAGATCTCTTTTGCTCTTTGTATCACTCCATCAAGCCTATCAATAAATGTATAGCTTCTACAGTAGACATGCCCGGCATAAATCCATACTGCTTATGAGAAATCTATGTATCACGTCTTAACCAATACTCAATTACTCTCTCCCATAATTTTAATGTATGACACACTAACTTAATTCCTTTTATAATTTGCACATTCTTGAGCATCCTCTTTATTTTTAAAAAATGGGGACTAAAATACTTTTCTTCCACTTCTCAAACATCTTTTTAGTAAGCTAAGAAACTCCCAAATCTCCTAAATATTTACACACTTCAGTCGAGATATCATCAGGTCCTACTGCTTTTCCAACATTGGTTATCTTTAAAGCCTCCCCAACTTTATTTTTACGAATGTGGCGGTAAAAATAAAAAGTTGTATTATTATTAACAATATTAAGATAACTAAGGTCAGCCTTATTTTCAAAAATTTCATTAAAAAATTTATCAAAACATCTCATCCACCAATGTTGAATACCTTCCTCTAAGAAAAACACATTTTGACTTTCATCTTTAATACAATTCACTTGAATAAAATTTTTAATTTTCATTTCTCTTTGACTAGTTTATACATATATTTTTCACACTCTTTAGTATTTAATCTATAATAAATATCACTAAAAGCAGTATTCTTAGCATCACAAATTATTTTCTTAAACTCCCTGTAGGTTACCTTACATTTTTCTCAGTTCTCTAAGCTTTTAAATTTGCACCAATTTTTATAACAAACTTCTTATATTTTATTTTTTATTGTACATTTTTATTCCACCACCAACTATTTTTATTTATAAAAAATTTTCATTTTGACTCTCTCAGTACAGCTTTTATCACTTATTTGATAGTATGTGTTATTTTATCCTATATAAAATTAACTTCTTCATAAACAAAAACAAATCTTAAAATCTTAAAGTTTACTTATAAAAATAATTTTATTTATATCTTTTAGGTGTTCCCATCTAATATTAAGACAATATTTCATTGTATTTTTTATCTTTCAACTTCTTATCATAAAATCCAGAATTAATAATCGATGTTGAGTACTTAAATTTTCATTTGGATTGACTCTATAATCTTTACATTCTCGACAATTTTTTTTCTCATAAGAAAATAATAATTATGTTTTATAGATCTATTCTTATAAGTGATAATGTGTTCATCTCTTATTTTAAATAAGGTATTAGCAATAACAAAATCATAAGCTAAAGAAAAATCTACTATGGTTTTACATTCTTCATTAATCACTCCAAAACTGTAACCACCATGAATATTTCTAAAATCTTCTACCACTACCAATATATTCATTCAAATCTCCTCTAATAATTTTTTTTTTTCAAGAGATATCATTAGTATTAATTCTAGTAGGCCATTCCAAATTTTTTTTTTAAATCAATATCTAACCCTACTTGAGAAGCATAAGCACTTATAACATTAAAAATCTTAATATCAACAATAATCTTTAAAACTATAATTCTTACTATAATTCTATTAATTTTTACAATATTATCTTTCAAATTCTTATCTATAATTACACGTATACTATTTCTAATGCAATTTCCACCTAAATGCCAAAATTTAAAACCTAAGTTAACAATCTCTATAGCCCTTTCTCCAATCCATTTAGTTACTTGAATGTATAAGATATTTATCTTCTTATGAACCGAACATGAACAAAATATATAAATTGAGTCGAACAGAACAAACTGCTCATGAGCAATTTCAAAAGCGAGACAATTTAGTACAAGCTAAACACAAGTCGAGTCTGAGCTCGCACAAGCTCAGCTCGTTTACAACCCAGGTGATACGTAGTCACGAGTAGCCTTATGCAAGGGCAAGTGACAATTTTAAATTAGGTCAAGTTGAATATGTAAATTCAAACAATAAATAAAATGTTTTTAGCATCTCCAATACGTCTTTTCCAAAGAAACTCGGTGTAAGAGTAATAAGAATGCCATATTTCTAATTTTTAAGAATTTGATGTTCAAATAGTATTTTGATAAGTTTCAAATGCTAAACATGGCAAAAGAAAGCTCTGAAAATGTATTAGTGGAGGGCTGCAAAAGATTGGATACATAACAACGGACTTATAGATGCCAATCGTTATCTGATAATGAACTAAATAGATGCTAGAAGAAAATGAATATCCTTTCCTTTAGCATGTGAATTAGAATCCAGCTCAAAACTTAAGGAACAACAACAAAGAATACAAAAAAAATAAAGGTGAAAGGAACTTTATTAGAAGGAATGTGCAGTGAATTAACTTGGATGATAACGTTGTTGATTGCACGCGCCTTACTGTACAAATATGCACATCCTCCATCTCTGGTGATTTACATAATGGAGTGTTCCATAAACTCGAGAATATGTAGTATTTGCTATTGTAGTTATTACAAAAAAAATAACTAAAAACCAATATAAACAGATAAAAAACCACAAAGCAGTGGTCCCTGAAAAATAAGAATCATTTATGGAGTAATTTTATTTTGTATCTATTTTAATTGACCTCAAATGTTACAACATAAAGTTGTGAACATAAACGTCTGATAAAGTGCCGCTAAAAAGAACAGGAAAACTTAAGCAGTAATGCTCAGAATATACAAAATCTTCAACACAAAAATGAGTTTAGAATGGAAAACACTGAAAGAACTAGTTAGCGACAGACTAAAGAAAATGGAGAGAAACTATAAGTAACTTTACCAATCTCCAGTCAGTGGATGCTGACTCATAGATGGAACGTAATGTGTAGGTGCTATATCATGCCCTTTATAATTCTTCAAGTCTTCATCAGTACAGCTTAAAAGCCGAGTAATATTTCCAGGTTGGCCACTCAAATGGAAGCTATGAATAAGACCTACAGTTTGCCAATCAAAATATGGCGAACACTCGGTTGAAAAAAGGGTATGTATTTTTGGATGTGGCCTTCTTGAATCATCAGCAACCTTACTTTGCACCATAGTTGAATTTCTCATTTCATGATAATTTAAATATTTCGTTTTAGTGAGTTCCAAAAATCTCTCGCTTTTCAGAAAACTCATATACTTAGACCACTTTGGTTTAGGGCATCCCATGGACGCATGGTGTGCTAGGAGTCCTTCATTTAGAGTGTTAATGCATTCTATACTTAGGAATAAACCTCGTCTCTCATGCGAGTTGGATTCTATCATCTATCATCTGAACCTGCACCTCATCCAAAAAAAAAAAACTAAAACAAAATTCTATTCCTTAAATCATCAATATACAAGCTTGAGGTTTCTTTATACCTCTTTGGGATATGGGGGAGGTGGAAAAAGACGGTTGCACTCATAGACAATCCCATCCTCATGATGCTCCAACTTGCTGAAAGACCAGTTTCCAACTTTGAAAGGTAACCCGTAGTGCAAGAGAATAGGCTCAACACCAGCTCTTGGAACATAACCCGGGTAGATCATTAAATCATCACTTATCTTGTGGTGAAGACCAACCTGTTGACGAAATCAATAGTCAGCAAAAAGCCAAATATTTTTAAAGAGGTTCTCAATTATCATAAATTTTGAGAAAAGTGTCATAACACTCCCCTTGCTCTTTTTAGGGGTTTTATTTTAGCCCCAAAGTTTATAAATATGCCAATTTAGACCCCAAACTCTTTTAATATGGGCTGAAAGCTGAAATTATCCCCACGGAAAACTATTTCAGCACCAATTGAAAGAGTATGGGGAATAATTTAGCACTTTTATAGATTTTGAGACTAAAATGACCCAATTTAAACAGTCAAAATATTACATTGGCACTTTACACTATAACTAATAGAAAGAATGAGTGCAAGAAGTTTGAATAAAGCCAAATATCCAAACCTCAGCAGCGCCAAAAGAATAACCGTACATCTCACTGATCCAACCTTGAGCATAAATGTCACCAGTTATGTTGGTTCCCCAATGAGCCCTATCCTCTCTAACTTCCTCTGTCTTTGAAAGCCACATAGGTGCTAGGGCTCTCAAGTCATCAATATGCATGGCCAAAAGCCCACCAACCTTGTTACATAGTTCCGGGTGCCTTGTATGCAACTGTGCTAGAATGTTATCGCATCCAATTAAGTACCTTATTAAGCCATTGAGATGAGAATGAACATGATGGGTAATTGAGGATATCATAGCCAAATTATAGGTTAAACTAAAGAAAACAAACATTTACAATTTTTCAAAGTTGATGTAAGTTGACAAGCATGCTTTAGAGACCACATATAATGTTTCAACTGGTTCGACAAGATTTGCAGTGATTGTTACATATAATTGAATTATCATGCTGATGAACATTAACATATTCGACAATAACCAAGTAATTTGTTAACATTCATATTATCCGGGTGTTATAGGAAAAAAATCATTACTTGCTAGTAAATAATTATAGAACCAACAATTTTATCCAACTTAACCATGATATATTTCAGGAAGTATGTCACTAGCTGGTGAAATTATTTGCTATATTGGTTTATTTCTTAACACATCCTCCAATATTCAAATGGGAAATGCCTTGTAATCCTTGCACAAAATGTCATACGTCAGTGTTCCTTCTTCAGGTACATCATGCATATGATAAAGCTATCATATATCGTCCAAAAAAGAGTTTTTTTAGAGAAATACTTACAACAGTGCCCTATGGAAGTGCTTAAAAATAATGCAGAGGTAATGAGAAACTGAAAAGGTTGAATAAACCAACATGATTTTGTTTGTTTGTGCTTTTTACCTACTTAGTTTCGAGAAGAAAATAGACGTGGCTGTTCTCTGATATAGATATGGTAGTTCTCTGATGTGTTCGCATATTTATCATTTTCAAGCTTATAGAATAAAAAAACTTAAAACAGGCTTTCAAAAGTTGCCCCACATCAAAAAAGTCTGTGCAATCCACAAATTTACCAAAAGCACCCACACAAACAAAGAAAACAAAAAGATAAAACTGAGCATTACCAAGTTATTTACATTAAAATAAGTAATGTCCAACAGCTTCCATATTCTTAGATTACTAAATAACAAAAAAACAAATTGGCCCTTTCTATGGAGTTGATGATAATAACTCCCACATTAAATGCACAATGATCATTATCCTTGGCAGAATCTTCCCCCAGAATGTATAATGAAACTTACATATCATTTCATTACCAATTTGAAAGTACAAAGGTAACCTTATAAACAATATTGCATAACTCAAAAGAACAAAAATGATTCCGACGCAAAAATTTTGGTGTTCAGTGCATATCCATACCCGTAATATGCAGCAACAGCCTTTCCCTTCTCTGCCCCAAGTTCCCAGGGAATAATTGGACCCCGAATTATCATATCTGCATCCAAGATTACAACCCAATCAACATTCTCAGCATCTTTGCTATGTTCAAGCCAATGGACAATGCCAGCAGGTTTATTAATAGCAGGATACCTGGGTAAAAATAACCAAGATGAATGGTAATTAATATGTTAAACAAATTTTATGGTTGATCAATAAATTCTTAGTGCATAACATCATGAACAAAAGTATGAATCCATAATTGTAGTTCTCTCGTGCAAAAGCCTCAAAATTTTCCCAGTAAGCCTCCGTTCATTGCATAAGATTTGTAAAGTGGTGGAGTTACAATGCCATGATAGTGAAAAATTGCCCCACCACAAGTTCTGAAATTACAATATACCTTAGAGTTTTAGAAAGGAATTCGTTGGCCACATTGAAATATAGAATGCTCCCTTTCTTATGATATATTTCTAGTGTTTGCTTATAAGCAAACCTTAAAACCTAAAGATTAAGCTCAAGCATTAAGCTGACAAATTAAAATTGAGCATTAAAATATAAAACTCTAGGCTGACAGTATGATTCAGCCCATTTAACTTGCTTAAATTGTGCATAGCCAGGAAAGCTAACAAATGGGAAACAGACATCATTCTAACATTTGCTCAAATGGCACAAAATATTTTCTCAAAAAATGCACCATGGAAAAGACAATATGGCATGCATGCCACTGAAAATCCCATCCAAAGATTATGAAAAAAATTAGCTCGGATGCAGATTATCCATTTGATGCTACAGCCTATCATAGTTTCTTTAAACAGATGTCGAAAAACCAGCTCCTTTACCCATATATGAAACAAAAAAACCCTAGCAAAAAATTCTCTTATTTCTCATAGCTCATAAATAAAATCAGCCAAAAAATAAAACAAATAAACAAGCATATATTGCTAGATCCACGATTTGGTGTCAGGGGAGGCCACCCCCTTAGATTTTACACTGCAAACATACAATACAATATAAGACATGTTAATGAAAAAAGAATTTTAGGACTCATACCAATCTCCAGTTTTTGGGTGGCGGCTCATGGATGGGACCTCAAAGGTCGGGGCAAGCCCCATTCCCTTGTAATGCCGACGCTCCTCATCAGTGCAACTAAGAAGTCTGGTGATTGGCCCAGGCTGTTGCACTTTGCGATAGCTGTGGACTAAGCCAACTGTCTGCCAATCAAAATAATTCTGGCACTCCACTGAAAACAATGTATGGATCCTCCATGGTGCCTTTTGCCCAGTTAGCTCAGCACTACCGATAATAGGCATCATTGCCAGCAACAGAAAAAGTAGCAGCAAGGATGCCACGATCACCATGATGGCAAAGGTAGATTCAAGCTTCAAGTTTTAAGAGATTACATCATAGGAGGAGTTTCATCACTTCCGAACAGATCCCATAAACTTTGGGAGCAAAATATTTATATGGGATGACCTTTACAGATTACAGATTAACCTGCCATTCATAATATATATATATATATATATATATATCATCAAGGTGTCTCAGAATCAACATTAATGTATTTATCCATCAAGGACAATATAAAAATCCAATTATTACAGCATATATTTCAACAGATATTTACAATGAGATAAATACATCACATAACAATACATTATTTCCCTTTGCTTGTCACTGCCAAGGGAAATCCTAAATTTCAATGCATTGCAGATAGATATTCTATCTGCAAAAACCAAGGAAAAAAAAACAAAAAAAGGATATGTTTTTCCAACTCAATAGCTGGCTTAATCATAAAATAGTAAAAAGAAGGCAGACAAGTAAAAATATTCATGCCCCTATATAAAAACAGGCAAACATACTTATATACATACAAAGCATCAAATAATAAGCTTGCATATTATCTCGATTTAAAATATGTGAGATTCATATATTAGAGGATACCAAATATATCGAGCATCAACAAATATTATCATATCAGGGTTAACAAAAACGGGGTAAGAATCTCAAATAATCTGAAATTTTAGTCTGAATAGGGAAAAATTCCGGTTCATCCAACTTATGGAATCAGTGCAAGTAGTTTTTGGTTGAAGGAGTAAGATTCTACATTTACTAATAAACTCAATTCAAATCAAATCTCATCAATTTATTTCATTCAATTCAAATTAAATGAAATAAATTTATTTTGACTTGGGCATATTGTATAAAAAATGATTTTAATTTATTAGAACTAAATGAAAATATGACACTAAATAGGACGCAATGGAGAAAAAGCAATGGAGAAAAAAAAGGATTCATGTAGCCGAGCCCACATAGTGGGATTGACTTTGTTGTTGTTGTTGTTGTTGTAATTCGAATTAAAGTTACTCTTTCAATCAATTCTAGAATCATTCTAAATCTAAATTTATCAATTAATCAAGCTTGGCAATATATATTCTATGGGGGAAGTAGAATTTAAGGCCGTGTTTGGCTGAAACCTGAATTTACATTAAATAGGATTTATAAAATCCAGAAAATCTGATACTGTGCGAAAGAGATGGGCTCGCGAGTGACTAAGGAAGAAATTCATAAATCCGTCTCACAATCGGATCTACAAAATCCAGATTTATGTCCTGAAAGGGACGGAACTCGGGAAGAAAAGAGAGAACGTTGAAAAAATTCGATTGAATGTAGAGTCGGATTTAATTTTCATTTTTTTATGTTTGGCTAGATTTACACTAAATCCATTGCTAAATCCTACTTAAATTATGCTGTCAAACACCGCCAAATAGATTTACACCACTCCTCATTATTCCTCATATTTTCCTTCATTTAAATCTTAAATCTTGAAAACATATGTCTAAACATACTAGTGGAATTTAGCCAGATTTAAATTATTTCATGTCGAACTGTTTTCAAGACTCAACACCCATAGGATTTACTGAATCTCAGAATCCACAAAATTTACCAAATCCTACGTGAATTCTAACAGCCCCTAAGAAACTAGCAATTCTCAATCCACTACACGTGAAAAAATCACATCATGCCGAATTCATCTTCGTTTGACTCAATTGATCAAAATCCCTAACTACATCTAAGGTTTCTTAAATTACACATGCAAAAAGATGGCATTTCACAAAATGAAGACACAAAATAGATATATCTCCTGATGAAATGGTTCGCTTGTCACCACTGCATCGAAGAGAAAGGAGACTTACTTGATCATCATGCTGCCTGCTTCCGCAGAAAAGGGAAGGTGGCGACCCGCCGGAGTGTCTAACAGATCGACGAATGCGGCCGACACCACGCCGCTGGCACGATCTACCCTCTGCTTCCTAGTGGCGATCAAATATGGGTCAACTAATGCGAATACTCTACCCTTTATTTATCAGTACCGGAGCCGATGCTGAGGAGAGCGTAGTGGGAACTTGTGAAAAGCTTTAGCGGCATTTCGTGGGTGCCTCGTTATATATATTTATATGTATCATTCCACCCTTTAATATTAAATTAAAAATATGGGAATTTACATAACGCCCAATTTTTTATATTTTAACAATCTCATGTCTAAATTTTCATGTTTGCAAATCAAACATCAAACTTATAGATTTCATCACTCTCCAATAATAAATCTACATTTTCATCCATAAAGTGGGTGTTTGGTCTTTAAAAATGAGAGTTTGAGTTTGAGATAGGGAAAACCATAAAAATCGGGTGATTTGTATGTAAATTTCTGCTAAAAATATCATATTTATCTTTTTTTTTTTTTTGTTAATTCATTAAAAACCTCCCAAATATTAATATTTACATTTTAATAGCCCGAATAATTTTTTTTAAACACCGATATGTTTGCGCGCACCACGAAAAAATTATTCACTTTGAGCTTTGAGACTGACATTTTTATGCTTGGTGTTGTGCGTCGAATTTGTTATTAAGATGCAGATCGGACGTCTATAATGTCATTGTCGGTCACCTTTATTTTATGATATTATCACCCGACTCACATCTTACACTTTTCAATGTCTCGGTTGCTTGGTCAGATTGTCACCTTTGTTGGGTCGCTAACATTGAGGAGAATCTAGTCACTATCTTCACAGGGGTAACTGTCGAGACTCGCAACTGAAATGATTTGTACCTTATCATTTGCGGAGCATGTCACCACTAGGCAGGGAACTGCCTACAGAGCTTTATATGATTCAAGCTTTAAGATTAGAAGTTATGATGCAAGAGCATTGTGGGTTGTTATGTCGATTTGACTTCTTTGGGATTATTGTCAGTGTTGTTAATTGGATTCAAGTTCCACAAGTGTCAATTGAGCATGATGAAATATTAGGGTAATTTTTGTCATAACACGTAATATGTTTTGAAGTAATACATCTTTTATTCACTAGGTAAGGTGTTAGTCGCCTACAGTTGATAAGGCATTGCATAGGTATGGTCGACAGCTTTCTTTGATCTATTGGAGCCAATCATTTGTTTTGTGTTACTCATCTTCTAGTCAAATACTCTAGGAAGACGATGGAAACTGTGGTTTTGGCTCCAAATCCATCATTGCACAAACTCTTAAGCTTGTTCTAGGTTATGAGTGACTCTGAGATGCATTTCTCCTCATTGCTTCTGTTGAGAAAATTAGGGCGAAGAAAAACTAGTACGACACAAATCCAGAAGAACACAGAGATTTAACGAGGTTCGGCAAAGATGCCTATGTCCTCGGGAGCAGAGCGGCGAGTTCCTTTCACTATTCAGAAAAGGGTTTACAAAAACCAGGGATACCTCCTGGGGTTACTAACAGACTTATTTATAACCCCAGGAGTAAACCTAGGCACAATATGTAATTACAACATTACCCCTGTACCATACCGC